TTCCATAGAAATTGAGATGAAAGAATAAGCTTATGCAAGTGGCTTTGTTTTCACTCCGGGTTAAGCTCTGGTGCACTGAATAAACCACCCACCTCATTAAGCCCTAAGCCATGATTTGCAAATAACAACGCCGGCATGCATCTTACATGCTTAGCCAAAATCAAATCACATTACAATTGGTGCAAGGTTTGAACTAGGCCCACTGGGGTGTGACAGGGAAAAGGGGTAGACATACATTCATTTTATTTATTTATTGTTAAATTTGTATGCCGCCCGTCTCCCCCCAACGGGTGACTCTGGGCGGCTCACAAATTTATTTATTTGTTTGCTTGTTTATTAAATTTATATAGCCACCCATCTCACTACTGTGACTCTGGGTAGCTTACGAAATTAAAAATCCAGAAAATAATACAAAATCAACCAAAATGTAACTGCAAAAAATAATTAAAAACAATAAAACCATTTAAAAAAAAACATAATTCGCAGAACAGCACCATTCATTTTCTTAAAAGTACAACCACTTAGCAGGTTCTCCACCAACGTCCCCGGATAATGACATCATAATGTACACACAGGAGGATTCTGATGAGCAAAACTCATTGAGAAATTAATTTCTCATTGAGAAACCGAGAAATTTCTCATTGAGAAATTAATTCTCAATGAACGGAGCCAACCAGATTCTCCCCTGCCCAGGACAGGGACTTTTTATTCTGTATTTTGCTGGTTTATTGTAGGATGTTTCACAGCTTTTGTAAACTGCTTGCTGTTGTTTTTTTAAATGGAGAAGCAACATACAAATATTGTAATAAGTAAAAAAGAATCCAAGGAAGCTATTGTACGGTGTCCTTCATGAACTATCAGGAACATCTTGGCGACCTAAATTCATGAGCTCCAAACGTGCTAAGGAAGTACAGTAAGAAAACTGGTATTAATTTTTTTTCCGGAGAAAACAGATACTAGATCTCCAGTCTAAGCAAGGGACAATTCAAATTGGAAAAAAAGCAGAGAGGATAATATTGAAAGATTGCCTGTAGTACTACCAATCTGATCTGAATGCCCCAGGAGCTGATCACCGATCACGCCATTTCCTCTTTCAAAAGCTGTAGGAGTTACAATTATTGATTGCCTCTGTCTGCAATTCTTCCACTACAATCACAAAAAGTATAGCACATCGTTTGCTGTTCTTGTTTTAATAAAAATCTTCCTTTATATGAAGTTGATCACTAACTCAACTCTCCCACTCCTATTGCTCTCCAATAGTTTTTGTCCATCCAGTGAGATTTGGCTGATCGGGTATGTTTAGGGATCCCTTCAGTATAACAGTGTTATCCATCTGGACCTAGGACCTGCGCCTTCTCTGTTGCAGCGCCTGCCCTCTGGAACAGCATCTCCTGAGATCTGTATGGCTCCCACTCTGATGGTGTTCCGAAAGTCTTTGAAAATTTGGCTGTTCTCCCAGGCCTTGGGGCTGATGAGTGGATGTGGGACTTTTTTTGTTATTTGTTATTTATTTTTCTTGTTCTCCCTTTTTTTTAATATGAGCCACCCAGAATTAAATGGAGTTGGCACCCTCTAAA